GTGAAAAACAAAATAAGCCCATTCTGCCATGGTATACATATTTAAACCATGTAAGGGCAAATGCTAATGTGAAAAACAAGGATTAAAGCTGGATTATATAAAGGAATTTATACCCAAGAACATTATCCTAGCAGCATTTCTGTGAACAGGATTAATCACAAAATAATGAATATGCTTTATGAACATAATATTTGAAGTAATTTTTTAAAAGTTGGCTATTAATCACAAGGTTAATTGATTTTTTTCTTCCTCCATTGTGGTTAACATACTCATTCTTCTCTTTAAAGACCCATTTTATTATGCAAATGGAGAAATTGAAAGACTGTGTCTAAGAGAGAGGGCTGCAGGGGAACTCATGCACCTGTTTCAGCCCTCTGCCCCCACCTCCGCTTCCACTGGCTGCCAAGCTAGAGACTTAGTGAGGAGGGTTACTGAGTGGGGGTGTGGGGGGCCTTGAGTTTTGACTCACATTTTCTTTGTGACTTACTCGTTTTGCCTTATAATTTCTCCCCTTCCAGCTCTCAGCATGCCAACAGCAGCTGCATCATGGCACTCCCGCTGCTGCCAAGAGGGCAGGCAGCCTCCTTGGAGACCGTAACATTGCACCCTAGCCAACTGTTAAGAGAGAGATGCTGGAGTAATACAGACAGCACAGCTAAGATCCTCCTAAGAGGCATTTGGTGGAACACTTTGTGCATGACATTTTTTAAGTTAATTTTTGGAACCTTTTTTTTGGGGGGGGGGGCCTTTTTATTATAGAAAATTTTCAAACATACACAAAGATAGAAAGAATACTGTAGTGCATTCCCTTGTACCTTCCTATTTCTCCAGTGATTTCAATAGTGATCAATTCATAGGCAGTCTTGTTTCCACTATCCATGGTGGTTTTCCCTGTGGTTTATCCAGACTTCTGGTAGATTCATCTCCTGGGATAAATTTCTCTTAAATTACAGCTGCTTTTCCACCCTTCTTTAGTCTAAGATCTATCACCCTAATGATTTCCTCATTTCTTTCTTCTTAAAGGTAATAAATTTGTATTTTTTTCCTTCTAAATTAAGCCAAAATATGCTGTGTTAGGAACTTCCATATTTTCTAGTACTGTCCCCTAAATTTTGAAGGCTTATTTTATTCAGTCAGCTGGTCTATCCAAAGCATATATGAAGTGTGCAGGATCTTAGAACATAAGCATTAAAGATCAGTGGGTTTGCCTTTCAGTTTTGCCACAGACTAGCTGTGTAACCTGGGACACTTCCTTAACCTCTGTGTGCCTTGTGTCCTCCTGTTTTTAACATGGAACTAATAATAGTACACACCCCACAGAGGTATAGTGAATACACTTATACAGTTTAGATGGAGCTTTATACAAAGTATGGCATTAAATTAACAGATCTAGGGAACTTTTGCATGTGAGATTAAGAGAAGGCAAAATACCAGAAGAGAGGGGAAGGTCAGGTGATTTGAACCACCAATGAATGTCGACACCAAAATAGATGGATGGATCCTAGCCCTTATCTCCAGCCAAGTGGGATAGTCCCAAAGTTTTTATTTATGCACTTATTTTAATGTGTGCTAAACATTATTCTACTTATGAACATTACTTCATTTAATCCTCATAAGGATCTTATAAAATAGGCACTATTATTAATCTCATCACACAGCTAAAGCAGCTGAGGCAAAGGGAAGTTAAATAACCTGCCCAAGGCTACATGCGTATTAATGAGGAGGAGACCTCAGGTTTGCACCCAGTCAGCTGGCTCTAGAATCTGTGCTCATACACCCTCTGCTGTGCTGCTCCATGATAACCAAAGCCCTGGTGTAGACACAGCCACGCAGGAACCAGCATATGCTTACACCCTTTAGCGAAGCTGACCCAGGGACGCTTAGTATTATTACTACGTCCCAGTCCAGTTTCAGGAGGCAGGCCCTGTCCACTGCCTACGTGACCTTTCTAATAAGCTTTGTGTGATTGATTACATTTGTTCTAGTTGCAGTCTTGAGAAAGTACTCTGTGTCTTATCTTCACATGGCGTTATAAGACAACTCTGGATAGGGGTGTGTTTGCTAACTTTAATAGTTCAAAGTCACTCACTAAACAAATATTTCCTGAGGGCCTCTGTTCTAGATGTTGGGAGATGCCTTGTAAGGAGAGCAGTTCCTCCTCTACAGCTTCTCCATGGAGTTTTCCTTCCTCTGAGCTGCTTCTTATTAGCACATAAATGGCCATTACTTCTCTCAACATAAAAAACAAAAAGAAAAATCAAGAGACACCTTTCTTCACCCCATATCCCTTTCCAGTCCTGGCCCATATCTCCTTTCCTATTTTCAGCAAATTGTCTTAACAAAATTGCCTGTTCTTCAGAAGGGACAAAACAGCAGTAGATTCACAGACACTGAGAAGGGACTAGTAGTTGCCATGGGGAAGGGATAGGGTGGGTGGGAGGGTGATAAAGGGGCGTAAAAATTCTCAATCATAGTGTAGGCTGGTCACAAGGATGGTAGTACAGCATGGAGAATACAGCCAATGATTCTGTAACATCTATGTTGACAGATAGTAGCTGTACTAGTGAGGGTGAGGATTTAATAATGTGGGTAACTGTTGGACCACTGGGTTGTATGCTGAAACTAAAATAAGACTATATCAGTTTTAAAAATTGTTTTTATATTTGTCTTTATTTTCTTTCCTACCCACACCAAGCAGACTTTCTTCACCAGATCTCACACAGCTCCAGACTCTAATCAAACCCCTTGCCTACTAACAGGTTCACTTGGATTTCTGCTGGGCACCTGGAATACCCAGAACTAAGCTCTAGACCATCCTGCCCAAGCCCCGCCCCTGACACTCTCTTCCTGTCCCTGCAGACGGAGAGGCCGTCTTGTTGCTCAGGCCTGGAGCCCTGGCTCCAGCCCTGAGCCCGCTCCTGCTCTCTCACCCGACATGCATTCTGGCAGCAGGTCCTATTGGCTCTGTCCTTAAAGATCAACACAAAATCAAATCGTTTTGTCTCAACCTCTATTATCACAACCTTTATCCACAATTATATCTTCTTCACAGCTGATCTTCCTGCTTCTTTCCCTGGATCTTCCTGCTTCTTTCCCTGGAACCATACCCCCCACTCTCTACCGGCAGCACAGCTACCAAAGTGATTCTTTTCAGATGTCAGTCAGAATATCTCTCTTCCGCAACAACATGGATGAATCTCTTATATATAGTTGAGTGAAAGAAAGCAGAAGCAAAGTTCATACTGTACAATTACCTTCATTTAAAATAGAACAGGTAAAACCAATCTATGCTATTAGAAGTCAGGATGGTGACTGAGGGTACAGGGAGTTCGTTGTGACAAAAAGCACGAGGGCCTCTGGGGGAATGTTTTTTTATATTCAGCTTCTGTTTATTGACATGTTTCAGACATAACAGAAAAGACCACATAGCAAAAACATACAGGTCAATGAATTTTCATACATTCTTGATCTGTGTACTAGTTGCTCACAGGTGTTTAGTTAAAATTTAGCAGGCTGTATAATTATGATATAGTCTTTTCTGTATTTTTCACTTAATGTTTTACAGAGTTGTTCTTTCTTACACAGAATATCATTCTCCTAGAATTAGAGAAAAGGAATGTATTAGCATTTATAATTTGTAACCATTATAATGTATGCCCCATGCAGGTAAAAATCTTGTCTGCTTTCATCCATTCACATATATTTTTAAGCAGTAGACACTCATTTGACATTTGGGATATAGCAGTGAACATGAGGAACAGAAACTCCTTAAGCTTCCAAGGGATGATAATCAGAATAAATTATGTAACACGTAACAAGGCATTAAGAGCTGTGAGGAGGAAAAAAGTAGGAGAGGGAGACAGGGAGGAGGGGGTGAGGGGCAGGGAAGGCCTCACTGAGAAGGCAACATTTGGGCCAAGGCTTGGAAAGAGGTGAAGGAAGGAGCCCTGGTGCATGTCTAGGAGAACTACCTAGTCCACAATCATATCTTGTTCCAGAGCTACGAAAGCAAAGGCCGGAGGCAGAATGGGTGCGCACAGGGGACTGCAGGAGGCGGGGGGGCTGCAGAGCAGTGAGCCAGGAGGACTGGCTGGGGATGGGGGAGTCACTTTTAAACTAAGCTGGTTTGAGCCTAAGCCCCTTGTAGTGGCAGGCTGTTTGTTCACATTGCTATAAATGTAGTCCAGTTTATTATTCATTCTGTGATTGATGGATCATTAAGTAGTTTCCAGTTTTGGGCCTGTGTAGAGTGATGCTGTAAACACCCTACTGCACACCTTTTGGCAAACTAATGTACGCATGATAAACCAATTTTAAAGAAATTGAACAAGATATATTAATTTATCTTACTTGAATGACTTACATAACATGTTAGCTCCAGTGGAAGTCAAGCAGTCAGTACTTAGGGTCCACATTAGAGGTAATTCTCAACTGTATGTACGGATAGTAAAGTATGCAAGGTGGAGAACACAAAGTTAGCACACAGAAATTGATTGCCCTTGAGTTCCCTAGAGTATAGTTGGGGATGAACCACATGCATAGCAAAGAGCACCTAGCAAGGACACAGAAAGGCAATGCCAAGCACACTCCCAGGCCATCCGCCCTGTCGTCATTCTGAAGTGGGCACGTCACTTCCGGGCTGTGTTGATAGAAGCTTTCACACGGAAGCTGGGTATTCTGTAGACCCTGAAAGAAGCCACTGGATTTGGAAAAGCAGAGACAGACTTACAGACATTATCTGGGTTAGGGAAATAGCTAGAGCGCCAGTTTGTATTTGAGGGGGCTCTGGTGGTCAGTCTGAGTACGAGGGTCTGAGATTCATTTTAAAGCTAGTGGAGATTTAGATGGATGTACTTCTCAAAGTAAATAGCTGCATTCTAATCTAGGAATATTTATATTGTCCACATTTCTGTCATTTTGATACACTAATACCACATTTATCATTATTAAATCTCAAAGTCCATAAGGTCTAAATCACTTAAATGTATATGTGTTTTTAGACTGGCAAGGAAAGCTCATCCAGTGTGACTGTAGCAGGCCCCGAGGCGGAAAATAAGGCAGGCCAGACTCTGGAAAACAGCTCCTTAATGGCTGAGCTTCTGAGTGACGTACCCTTCACCTTGGCCCCGCACGTGCTGGCCGTGCAGGGCACCATCAGTGACCTTCCAGACCACTTACTCGCCTATGATGTCAGCGAAAACTTATCAAGGTTTTGGTATGATTTCACTCTTGAAAATTCAGTGCTCTGTGATTCATAATCTTTATGTCTGTTTGCACCTTAACAGCTTTAAAACAAGTTTGCCTATTTTATTTAACCTGTTTGATGTTCTTCGCCATTTCACTGTGCAAAGGTCCTCAGAAAAGCAAGGATCAGAAAGCAAATAACATTACGTTCATTGCTCTATTTTTTAGAATAAAGTATATTTGTACAAAATGGAACTCAAGTTCTACTCCCTTTCCCCAAAGTAATAAACACAAAAACTGAGCTATCAAGGTTTTATGAAAGGAATAGAGTCCTTCAACAGGTCTCTCAAAATGCAACGCCTCACATTTATCTTAGAACAGTAAGAAAGGACAAGGGCACTTAGTTACCATTACTCTGAGGTCTGTGCTTAGACTGGTGAGTGAATTCTCTTCTCTGGTTTGGAGGAGACTTGAATTAATGTTATTCCCTATCTTCTTCCACAGTGTTTATGCATGAACTCAGAGGAAAAAAAATTGCCAGTTAGCTTAATTTCTTCAGTCCTGATTTAGACACTGATGTGGACACTTAGAACACTTCCTAAAAAAGCAGTATACAGAAATCCTGTGACCCCTGCGGACACTGTCTCTTCTGAACACTCAGCTGCAGTTTCCTGAAACCCATGGCAGTCCTTTCCATCCTGAGTGATGGCTGTGTTCCTGCCTTTGTTTTCTGCCTTATTGCTACTTCAGACTGAACTGTCACCCGCTTTCCCAAGAACTTTCCGTGCTCTGCCTCAGTTGGCATTTGCTCCCCTTACCACATATGTTCCCAGTTTATGAAGAGATCCGCATTTCCTTTCAATCTCTCTGCCTCCTAAAGAAAAACAGCTCATGATGATACATGTTATTGCTGATAACACCCTTATTTAGAAATTTGTTGGCCACAATACAGATGGAAGTGTTTTACTGCTAGAAAAACTGAAATAACTCATTTCCAGTTAGAGAATAGGCCAGACACCTAGCTATGACTTTCAGTTCTTGAATATCCATTATTTGTTCAGCTAAAACAGAAAACTGCCATTGGTCAATAGCCTGTAAAGGGAAGAGGTAAATTGTGGTAGAGTATTTTCTATGCCATGGAAAACTCAAATCACATTTGTTTTGATTACGAGCAATACAATTTATTTATTCTGTGCCAAATTTTAAGTATATTTTCACAAAGATAGAGTGCTGTAGTAAAACTAAACACTGCATAAAGTTACCTGAATTATTCAAGTTTTAACCTGTTATGCATGTTTTTAAAATAAATGTAGCATGGTCTTGATAGAAATACCATATAATTTAAAAGGTGAACATTTCTATTGAAAAATAAGGCAAATGGTTAAATTAGATCTTTACATAGTTTTCATAAAGCATCAGTCTGGAAAATGTGACTTATTAATAATGCAAATGTGAACATTTTATAGCAGCATTTGTGAAAACACACCCTTTTCAATACCCATGTTGATGTACCGTAAAGCTAAATGTAAGCATGTCATCAATTTGTCTAATATATATTAAATTTTACTTAAAATAAACATTTCACTTATATTTATGTTTTCCATGTTATAAATATGCTTATTATAAGTATTTTCACTTGTCTACAAAAATTGTTATATTTAAATAAATGTGAATTAAAATAAACTGATATTTTGATTATTTTCAAATCCAGAAAAATACTTTTCTTTGCAATATTCTTATCTGAATGAAAGTTACTAATTCTTTGGGAGGCAAAGATCTAACTATATAATTTGTATAATGCAGAGAAAAACATGAAATTTCCTCTTATATGTAACTTTTAAGGAGTAACACTGGAAATGGTAAGATCATCAGTCCTGGCCTAATAGGACTGGAGAGATTCGGGAGAAATCACATCGACATCTCTCTCCAGACAGATCTCCATCATCACTAAATTTGGTAAGGGCCAATGTTAATGACCTAGTTTTAACAGAAACCTTAGGAAGATGGCCATTTTAATGTTCATATCCTATATATATGTCAATGTTACTATTTTAAAAGTGGAAGAAACATTCTTAGAAATCAGCTACCAAACTCCCATTTTACCCAAGACAAACTTGAAACCTAGAAAGGTTAAATGACTTAAGTCACTGATATAAACATTTGTTTTAATAGTGTTAATAGTCATAATATAAATTATAACAAAACTGTATGCTCTGGTGGAAAAGAATTCAGACACTTGAAGCAGCCAGAGTTTGTAACAGCCCCTTTACTTAGAAGCTGTAGGATCTTGAGTCAGTCTCCTAACTTCCAGTGTCCTTAGCTCCCTGCTTGTTAAATATATGCACCTTGCAGGGTTGTGTTAGGATTTGGATGGTATATGTCAAATGCCTGGCAGCATAGAGCTCAACACAGCAAAGGGAGCTATTACCATTCTCATTATAATCTAATGGAATGCAAAATATAAACTGAACTGCCTAAAGAATAATATAAAATACTTTTATGTTTTTTATTATAAATTTTTTATTAATATAAAATATTTCCTATATTTTATAGGTCCCTCTTGTCCCATTAATTTTTTTCCACATTAAATACCTCACTGTGAAAAATATTCCTAAAATGTATTGCTTGACTCCTCTGCAATTGCTTAGGTAAGACGTCCCCAGGGAACACTTCTTTTTCTCTTATTATCAAGCATGTGGTCCTTTTCCTCAATAAAGGTTATCATTATAAAGTACTGTAGGTACAGAATCTACAAGTGATTTTACTCTATCTTATTTTTAACCCCACAATATATTCAGCAAGTTACATGGTTGGTTTTTTTTTTTCGACTTTCTTTAATGGCATTTGCATCTTTTCCTAAAAACAGAGTCAGGCCATTCTGACCAATTTATTATTCTGGTTAATGAAATTTTGATTAACTAGACTTAAAACTGTACTATTAAATGTTAACAAAAATATAATAATTCTAGAAACTCACAATAGTTTAAACATTCATTGACACCACCACTATTTTCCCCTCTCTCAAAGTAATAATAAATTGAAAACAGCCTGACAAATATATTTTCTAAAATTCCCAGAAAGCTGATTTTGTATAGTTGTAAAGGATAGATGTGGAGTAGCAAAGAAATAATCTCATCCATGTTCTAAAACAGCAGGACATCAACTCTTACCCCATTACCTCTCCAGATAACAATTGGTCACTAAATGAACACTACCCTCAGTAATCTAACAAAGGATATGTTACTTGGAGAGATTAATACAGGTTTATTAATCATGCCATTAATAATACTTACATGAAATGTAAGTGTAATGGATAAGTGATTAAAGGGTGTTACATCTTTTAAAGTCATTGAGAAATACGGGTTTGTGGACATTATCTTTTGAGCATTTGTGTCATGTCACAAAAGGCATGACATAAATATTGGGAAATCCAGAATTCTCAGAATAGGTCTGACTCCATTCTCACTGCATTGGCCTGAAAGACAAAGGATTCTTCTGTGTCAGGACTCTTTACACCATATGATTTTGTGGATAGGTGTGAGTGAAAAAGAGAGAAACAAAGATGTATTGATTGATGTGTAGGAACTCTGTTGCAGTCAATATATCAATATGTCTGTCATTAAATATTTTAGAGTATTTTTAGACTTATAGAAAAGGAATGAAAGTAGTGCAGTGTTCTTATACCTCCCACCCAGTCTCTGCTTTTGTTAACATCTTCCACTGCTACAGTTCATTTGCTGCAACTGAGGAACCAACATGGGGACATTACTGTTAACAAAAGTCCATACTCTGTTCAGATTTCATCATTTTTCCCTAACATCCTTTTCTGCCTTCCTGCATCCCATTTGGTCATCGTGTCTCATTAGGCACCTTTTGGCTGTGACAGTTCCTCACTTTTCTTGTTTTTGTTGACCGTGACAGTTTTATGGAGTACTGGTCATGTATTTCCTAAAATGTCCCTCATTTGGGGTTTGTCTAATGTTTTCACATGGTTAGTTTAGGGTTATGGTTTTTTGGAGGAGGATTGCAAAGACAAAGTGCCCTCCAGTGAGTAATCTTATCGAGAGTATATGCTATCAACATGACATCACCACTGATGTTAACCTTTATCACCTGGCCAAGGTAACATTCACCAGGGTTCTCCACTGTAAGTTACTCTCCATCCCCACTTTTCATACTCTAGTCTTTGGAATTAAATCACAAGTATAGCCTACATTCAAAGGGTAGGGAATTAAGCTCCACCTTCTTGAAGGGTAAGTAGCCACATAAATTATTTGGAATTCTTCCACATGAGAAATGTATCTCTTCCCTCCCATTTATTTATTATTTACTTATTTATATTGGTATTCAAAGATACTCAGACTTTTTTTTCCAAGTCTAAATTAGTGGTGGCCAAGAGATATTTACATTTTTTAAAAAGTTAAAGAAAATTTGGAACATTTTATATGGTATAAATGATTACCATTTGATGTGGACTAGAGATACTCTATAATTTCCCCAGAATTCAGCTTCCTATAAATATCAGATGAATTTCTCCTTCACTTGCCATGACTGTAGCTAAATGCACAGTAGATCCTTCCTGTAGGGCTATCTTGGAACCCTCTTAGAGGCTCGGCCTTCTCCTACCCCAGTCCCATGATTGTTTCATACACCTAATGCCGTTCCTCAGCAAGTGGTGTAGAGGCAAAGTTATAATGTAATCGTTTTCCTCTCTAAAGAACCAAGATAACTTAAGAAACAGCTCTTCTCTACAATAGATAAGACTTTTTGTAATAGCAAAAAGAGAGCTGTGGCTCTGTAAGCTTCTAAGGAAAGAAACATTTCATTTTCAAGCTTTAAGGAGTAGTTTAAAGAAGCAGTTTAAGGAAAGTTTTCTTTCAGGGGGGCGGGTGCACAAGAAACTCTATTTTTACCTCTGTCTAACCAAAAGTCACTCTGTACTAAAAGATAAAATTGATTTCATCCAATTTCAGTTGGAGAAAGAATCAATCAAAGCAGAAAGCATCTTAGTTTGTCCTTGGAAGAGACCTGAATATAGTTTTTTGTCAAGAATTTGCCCAGACCCAATTTTCACCCCTACAAAGGAAATAAATTCCTTACAATCAAAGGTAAAGCAAAGGATAATTGCATCCAGAACAACCCGTCAGTACACTAATCCTGAACCAGCCCCACAGACAGCTTTTTAGTTCCTACCCCGACCAGAAAGGGAGTGAGACAATAGACCATTTCAGAGGTCAGTTAAGGAGACAGCCTCCCGCTTAGGACTGTTGCCAAGGACGTGCAATCCAGCGTCTGACATCTGGGTTCTGTGGCTGCCAAGTCTGCCCCTTGTGTGGCCACAGGTGTTAGCTATAACTCTGAGATACATGGAAGAAGGAACAGGCTAACGTCAGTTTCATTGTGCATTTGTTTATGTGTATGGTTTTTACTTTTAATTTTGTTTTTCAAAAGGTACATAATTTATTTTGCTTCCAAATCAATGTATTTATGCATAATAGCAAGGAGCATCTGGGAGGCTAACTAAGAAGCAGCTTTTGTTCAGGAAAAGGGCAAAATAAAGTCAACTTCTTACACCTATGGGGTACACTGTACATTAACATGCTGTGTGTGGCATTGTTAACTTAGTCATTTGATGAGGCCTTCTCAGGACCAAAAAAATAAATGGACCAAGAAAAGCAAAGAGGCAGTTGGCCTAGGATAAAGCCGAAATACTCATTCTCTCCCTATAGTCTCCCTCTCATCCTTGTTATGGGTTTTCATGAGAATTTGTGTTATCAAATGTATTTATGAGCCTGAAACAGACTGTCTCTAGTTCTTCTAACCCACATTATACCGGCTGTAACCATCATTTAACACAGTTTAAAGCAGTAACGCCAAGTTGTCCTCTTCCCCTTGCAGGAGACTTAGCTCTTGTTTATGACGCAAATCTAGAAGTTTCTACATCAGGTAGGTATTTGAGATTCCTAACCCTAAAGATGTGGACAGCAGTAGAAATGAAGATGATTAAGAAAAGAGAATGATACTAGTAAGAACATAAAAAGCCAACAGTTAATGCCACCATAACAAAACACATGCCTATATCTCCATAATTAAATATATATTTCCTCCTTGTTTTGCCTACTTTGTGTGTAAAATTAGAAATTGAATTTAATGGAGTGGAGGGAATCTTCAGATTTTCTCTTTTTATTCAATCTCTTCTAAGGAGAAATGCTTGAATCCTTAGGCCAATGTTTCTCCATATTTTAAAGCTAATGTACCTTACAAATGTTTTTTCACTGTGTCCTCTAAATATTCCACCAGCCAAGAAGATTTTTGACAGATTTTGTGCCTATTATGAAGACAATAGGCAAATTGCATATGCTTTTTCAAAAGACAGCCACCACCGCATTTCCCTTAAGAATCTATGCTCCCTTGTTGATGTTCTATCAGACTTATGCTTTCCACATAATAAATCCTCAATCAGGATTGTTGAATGAAGGAGTGAACCAATGAGGTAAATCATTAAATTATCTATAAATGAGACTTCCCACAAGAAAGGAATAGAATTTCAAGACTTCTGTAGTTTTTCAGGCCCCAGTATGTTCCCCAAATGATCATGATGTTTAGTTTACTGAGCCTCTACAAATCGTGCCTTTTGGCTGTTCCAGGTACTCTCCATGTTTTTCAGGTTGTGTTTTCCTCTG